GAGGGTATTTATAGGAAAAATTGGGGGGTGAAAAAATTCAAAAAAAAATAAATAACGGCCGGTTCACCCGGGCCGGTTCACACGGGCCGGTTCACTAGCCATTATTTGCTTTTTTTTTGGATTTTTTTTTTTAAATCCGGGTGAACCGTCGGGCCGGCCGACGGTTCACGGTTCATGATTGCCTTTTTTACGTGTTTTGGGCTGAAATTTGGGCTGGAATCAATTTTGGGCCCCTCCTCTATTTCCAACTTCAAAATTGTTTAGACATATATATATTAAAAAAAAAAAATTATGGGCCCCCCAGGATAATGGGCCCTGGGCAGCTGCCCCACTTGCACTGCACCAGGGCCGGCCCTGATCTAACATCCCTCCCCGCCGCCATTGCTCGATCTGTCAAGAAAATGTAACAAGGAAAAAGAAATCAAAGACATGTCAATTCAATTCATTCAAAACATCTCTCTTTCCAAACAACTTAGAATCCACTCAAATGTTAACGAAATTCACAATAAAATTATCCAAAATCAATTATCGAAATTCACTACAAAGTTATCCATTCAAATACGTTATCGTTCAAAATTCGAAACGAAATCAAAAAAGAAAATTTACAGAATACACAATTAATGCGATAAATACGATTAGAATTGATTACCGAATCAAAGAACAAAAAACGCTAACTTCTGATAGGGAAGATTGACCGGTAATGTATGTAGCTTTTCTGATAACGAAGAACTACCGCAAAAACAATATAGACAATGTGAAAAAGATGGGAAAATAGGAAGATTTAAAAAAAAAAAAACAAAAAAAAAACTTTTTGTGTAACCCAATATTGAAATGACTTGTCGGTTAATTAAATCACTTCAGATTTCGGAAATTTGATTTGGAAGAGAGATAAAAGAGCCGCGGTGATGTCGTGGTGGCTGACAAGGAAGCAGACGGAGGCGGTCCATCAGAGCGGTGAAGATGGGGGAGGCAGCGGTCCATCAGAGCGATGAAGATGGTGGAGGTCTCACCCTCGGTGAAGGAATCGAGATTTGGGGGGATTTGGGGGAAGAGATCGATAATCTGAAGAAGAGAGGGGACGACAGCTACTGTTGAAAGGAGAGAGAGAGAATAAATCTGTAGAAAAAGAAAAGATTTAGAACGTGAATGTTATTGGGTTAGGTGAAGGGCATAAAAGTGAATTAAATTATTTATGATTAATTAAAAGATATTTTGGATTTATCTTGAAAAGAAAAAAAAAAATTGGACCTCTCTTAATTGGACAGTGCATATGAGGGGGTTTGTGAAATAATCCTTATTAATAAATACGAGCCGGCCCGCGAGCTGTCGAACAACTAAAACCCGAGCTCGAGTTCGAGCCTTTATCGAGCCGGCTCGTCGAGTTCACGAGCCGCCTCGACTCGTTTACCACACCTAGTTCCAATTCTATTTCAAAAACAACCAGAGATATCGGAAATGGAAACTTTCTTACTCCCAATTTTCACCCCTACCTATACCCAACTTCTCCAAGAACCTATACCCAATTTCTCCAATAAAATAATAATTATAAATTTTCAATTAAACAAAATGATGATGGACAGTTCTATGAATGTTTAGAAACTTATGTTCACCTTGCTTTCTATAAAATCGTCCAAACCCTTGTTCAGGTAAAAGAATGGGACTCAACCACAGCGGAGTAGTAGTTTTAGCTCAAGTCAACAAACACAGGAATTAAATAAATCGACAAGCAACGCCGTGGCCGCGGCGGAAGGTGGGTGATGAGGACGATGGAATGGGCAGCGCGTAGAGATCACCTCGGCGGAGTACCACGGAAGTTGATCTTCATGGCTGCCGGAGCATTCTCCAAAACTGTAGCCAATCTGCTCAACACCACCACCGTCTACAACCTCGAAACCCTCCTCCGCCACGTCCGCCACCGCCCTCCCGGAGTCCCTCTTCTCACCGTCGCCAATCACATGTCCACGTCAGTCACTCTCTCAAGTAAAGTAGTAGTTTCTTTTCATTTTATACAATCTGCATTATTTCCTATAAGGCTCTGTTTGGTTCGTGTTATTTTGAAAATGAGGAAAATGAAAATGCAAACGCGAATGAGATCAAATAATTTGAGAATCTCTAGAATGTTTGGTTCTCAAGGAATAAGGAAAACGGTGATGAAATTGAATTTGTGGAAATTCTGCCATGGAGGTGAACTACACCCATAATTTGGTGTTTTCTAGGAAATCTATTTTACCTAGAGTCATTTCATCTTTTTACTTGGCATTTTCATTGATCCAAACAGAGCCTTAAATCAACTTGACAAAAAAGGGGAAAATGTGGGGAAGTATTCCGAGTGGTGGCAGTAGTTATAGGGAGACTCTCATAGTAATTGAATTTTGTTATTTCATTCTTTTAGTGGGTAATGAATGTGTTGGATTTTGTAATTCACTATTTGAATTTGGCAGTAAAAGAGTATACTGGTTGAGTTATTTTACTGGTCCATTTGATCGTAAATTGTTCGACTGCTTCAGGTTGGATGATCCATTGATGTGGGGATTCAAGGATTTCCCGATAACTGATCCAGAATTGGGGAGATGGGTACTTGCAGCCGAAGACATATGCTTCAAAAATCCAGTGCTTTCATATTTTTTCCGAATCGGTGCGTACAATTTTAGTTGCCATATCTCTTTTTGATAATGCTGTATTTGATGCTGGACATTTCCCCTAGACAACTCGTTTAAAAATAGTAAAAATAGGCTAATGTTTCTCCTGTTAGTTGCAACTTTATTGGAACCCCGATTAAAATTAAATCAATAACATCATAACTAAAACGAAAAAATTGCATGGTCGATCCCGCGGACTACTCCAGTTCAAAACATGGTTTTCTCTAACCACTAGAAGGAGAGACTTGAATAGTGATGTATCTGTAGATGATGCACATTCGTTTTTTGTTGTCTTCTTATAACGTTTTCATATGCATGTTTCACTTCTATATTGTGTTTCGGCTTTTTATTCATTTGCGGAGTTCATTCTTATTCAAAACCTTGGTTTTGGAGTAATTATTCCGGCTGATTTGGGAAACGTTTGCAATAGGTGATGATAATTTGTAAGTAATTTTGACGGTGAAGATTTGTTTTGTTTCTTGATTTCAAGTCAGTTTTGTAACAGTTTAGTTATCTTTAACACTCCTTATTCACAAAATGTAAAATTGACAGGGAAATGTATTCCTATAACAAGAGGAGGTGGAATCTATCAGGAGCACATGGATGAGGCTCTTGACCGTTTGACCGACGGAGCTTGGGTACTCTTTCTTGCTTGCACGTATTTCTGGACACGTGTTTATATGAAATATTTATATTAGACTTAGTAATCAATTGTTGGTAATACAATTATGTTCAGTAGTATTTTTTTCGACAGCCCTGTAATACATGTGCAGGTATAAATACATATATCCGTGCATTTACCACTTAAAGAGGGCATTGATATATGTCTCGCATTATGACTTTGCGAGAAGTTAATTTAGTTGATTTTATTGCCACTGCTTTAACCACTTCATATATAGAGATCGTCCTTGGGTATTATGCTCAAACGTAATCTCATTTTATTGTGTAAATAAATAATAAAAGTTTTTCATGTGTATTCGGAGTAAATAATTTTTCATGGAATTACTTACCACAGTTGCGCATGCATGAATTTTTTTTTTATTTCTAGTTGACCTTTTCTCATGTCAGTTTTATTTTGTTAGTGAGTATTGAGTTGATATTAACTGTCATATGCATACCGAATTGACTGAGTGTAGTTGTTTTTGCAATATCATACTAGTTTGTTCAACAGATAGAAAAAACTTATTCGTATTTGTGGTCTCAATGTTTTATGCATAATGAACAGGTGCATACGTTTCCAGAGGGGAAAGTATGTCAAGAAGATGCACCTATAAGGCGGTTGAAATGGGGAACTGCAAGTCTCATTGCTCGTGCCCCTGTAACTCCCATAGTCCTGCCAATATTTCATCGTGGTTTTGAAAAGGTATTTCTTTATGTCCTAAATTCAACTTAGTTATCATCGAAAGTATATAGATATCTGGTGATTTATATTTCATGATACTATTTCGGTAGTGTTCGATTAGTTTTTGTAATGAAGTAGATCATCGATCAGCCATGCGTATGCCCATCATATTTAATTTGCTGAAGCCACGTTTATACCAATTAAAGCTTCATAATGCAGGAGATTTTAGCCTTTCAATCTTCTAAAAATGATTCGTTTGCTAGATTGGGATTCCTGATTTATTTTCTGCCCCTGAAATTGGAACAAATTCTCCACGTACTCAAAATTTAATAGGATTAGTGTTTAACTGTTTACTCAGTTTACTGTTAATGAAGACGGATCAGGGACCATGAACTGAAGAAAACCCTCTGTGTTTTTTCGAATTAAAAAAAAAAATACAATTTTTATTTTTATTAGTGTAATCCCCCGTGTTACATTTTTGCAGCTAATTGCTCCCCAAACAGTGATCTTTCTAAGAGTTTGTTTGCCTTTGATTTTCAATTATAACGTGGTTTATGATAATAAACATAACGAGTGATTTTTTTAGTCCTTGGAGTAAGTAAAGGGGTGCAGATAGCAAAAGAAAATCTATTTATAAAGTATAAACTCCGACACAATCATTGCATTAATTGAACTGTTCAAACACAACACCCGGATTGCACTCTTTATAATTGTAGTCGTCGTATTTAAATTGGTAGCTCGAGTAGTCCATTGCATATAGGTTAATCCTCCATAGACTAAGAGATTAATGCTACGGCATATGGCAGAATGTATAAGGTGCTTTCGGTGGTAATTGAGTTTGAGAAGCTCTTAGGGCAAGCTGAACTAGGGGTCCTAAAGATAAAATTCTGCTTTTTGGAGACTTTAGTCGATAATTCATCTAGTGGAAGTTCCTAGAGGGTCTTCCAATTCAGAAACCAACCTTTTCCTAAGTTGCTCTTTTTTTTTTTTTTTTCAAGATTCTAGAACAATTCATAAAAAGATTCAATTTACAGTGCCCATCACTGTATAATTGTTTTTATTTTTTAGAGACTTTGATATAAAAGTGAGTCTCGGAATGGGTCTCGAAAACAAGAAACGAAGACCCATTTTAGAGACACAATTAAGTTTTACCCTTTCGATCTGTTGTTCAGTCATGGTTTACAATATTTGCAGGTAATGCCAGAGAATTATATGTTTGGTCGAAGACCCCCTTTCCCTTTGTGTAAGAAGGATATAGAGATATATATCGGTGAGCCAATTGTGTTCGACATCCCTAAGCTGAAGCAGATGGCTGTAGACACGTCGAGGAAGGAATTTATATCACATTGTCATAGTGAATGGCCCGAGACTGTGTGTGGAATGGATGAGGCAGCACAAAGATGTCTCTACACCAATATATCTGACCGAATACAACTAGTCTTGGAGAAGTTGCGTACTGTTAGCAAAACATGTTTGAACACAAACTGATTCTTGATTATGGTTTAGGAAATACTGAATTAGCAGAGCAGGTTCTACGTTTTGAAACCCATTTTTGACTATGGGCATTTTTGTTGGTTCGATTTGTCAGGTTTTCGGATTGCCGTGAGAACCACCTCGAAAAACAAATCGTATTAGATAAAAAAAAATATGATCATTGTTTGAAGAAATATGTTAATTTTTTGTCAAGCATTTTAGTATGGCGAGATGGGTAAACTGTATAAAATCAATCACGATTGTTTCGAAATCTGCATTCTGTTCATTTTATTGTGTTAAATTTTCTTCGTGTTCTTGTTCCATGCACGAAACCCCCGTTCCGTTCAATCTGTAACTAGTGTGTATTTCAGACAACAAATGTGTGATTGACTTGGTTTTCGAATGATAAACAACTAAATTAGTCCGGCATATACAAAGTACTATATTGTTTTTCTGCACACAAAGTACCTTGTCATCCATTACTAACTTATTATGCAGTTCATTGAATGGTAAAATAAAAAAATTGCCGTGTACAACAACAATACTAATTCTTAAATAAGAAAAGACGCGCGCATAAAAGTATAACAGATAAAAGTTTGAAGGCGTGTCACTTGGTTCTCAAGACAAGATTTGACAAGATCGTATTATGCAATTTTATAAGAACTCAATTTTATAACTGGATTTGGGCAGTAAATACTCAATACAGTCTCTAGTAGAAAAATAACTTTTTACTATGATTTTTTTTTACTCCGGTAAAGAGCTGTAATAAAATATACATTTACTACAGGATAACTTTGAAGTCGTAGTAAATGTTAGGATTTACCGTAGCAAACAAATATTTATTACGAACATTTGCCGTAAAAAAGTTTTTGTCACGCCAGTGCCCGTATATCCTATGGGGCAAATTCGTAGGAAATATGTAGCGAAAACCTTTACACTACGGATTTAGAACATTTTACTACGGTTATGGTTATAGTAAAAAGTCTTTTTTCTACTAGTCAGTGAGTATTACACAATTTCTGAATACGCTCAAATAAGAGCTAGAGATTATAGAAAAATTTGATCCGTGAGTATATGATCCGTTTAAAACTCGTTATCAAAACTATTAGGGCCCTTTTGCTTTGGGTGATTTAGAGGTGATAAATTATATTGTCCAGTGAATCAAACGTTTGCTTGTTTTTTGAGCAAATGGACTATATGTGGGGCCCATGGACATATCCCACTGCATTATGATTCAATTGTCACACCTGGGAGGTGAGATTCCACAATCCACTCCTTCCCCGCGCTGGCCCACCCTGCAAAATGACAAAGTAGCCCTGACTTGTTTTTATAATTACACGGGAATCATATAAATAGTACTTCTCTTCCATTTCGATGGACGAAACTCACATCCTCCAGAAGATGACCATTCCGATTTCCGACTGAGAAGAAGAATTTCAAGATGAAGGAACAGAGAATGTAAAGCCGAAATTTTACGTATGCCTGAGATTGAACATAACGAATATGAAATGATCGAACAGGGCTAATGGCAGCTGAATAAGTGCTCAAATGCTGATAACACCATTTCCCATGTTTCCGAAAAAGAACGGCAACAACCCGAACCTACAGATCTGCCTCTCGAAGATTAATAAGGCGAAAAAAGATCGAATGGGACATAGCTATTTTTATAGGAAGTGTTGTCAGTAACTGTTCTCTTCCATATTGTTGGAACCCGAGCTCATCTCGAAATATTTCAAATTGGTGTAAGATAAAATGGATTGTTCCGTTGTTGAATGAGCGTCAAGGAATTTTAATAGCCAGAATGAGAAATCGAGCTTTGCGTTTGAAATGTTTTTGGCCTGTTTTGCATGTGTGAGGGTAAATTAGTCATTTCATTGACAATCCTTCCATGTCAGTCAAAACAAACATGAGGTTAAGATGTCATGCTTAATTTATTCAACACAAGCAAATATGAGTTCAAAAAAATTACATAATCATCTCCACTCCAAATCTATCTTATCTATATTAACCCACCAATCCATACCCCAAAAGCAAAAGGGCCCTTAGGGGTTTAGAAATGATTTTGAAGTCTTTCTTTTGGTGACAAATAACCTTTGATGCCATTTTCTTGATAACCAAACAAAGCAACAAAACGATTCTAAAAATAACTCATCTTGAAAATGATGGTCCTCAATTTACAGCAAAACCCTCATTCGGCACCCACGACCGCCCCTGTAATCGCCTTCACCACCCCGAAGAACTATGCCAGCAGACTCTCTGACGTCATACGCCTCAAGGGCTGGACTCCTCTGTGGTGCCCTACACTCTCCGTCGACACCACCCCACACACCACTTCCTCCATCCAACACTACTTTCTCTCTCTAGACCCCCCTCTCCGTCATTTCTCCGCCGTTGCATTCACTTCCAGAACCGGAATCACCGCCTTCTCAGAAGCTCTGTCCGCCATCGCCGCTGCACCTCCGTTCGGCCCAGATGGAGATCTTTTCACACTTTCAGCTCTGGGGAAAGATTCTGAGCTTCTCACTGAATCTTTCGTCGCTAAATTGTGCGTGAATCCGGCGAGAGTAAGGGTACTTGTTCCTCCAATTGCGACGCCGAGTGGGCTGGTGGAAGCTTTGGGATTGGGATTGGGGAGAAAGGTTTTGTGCCCTGTCCCTCTCGTGATAGGATTGAAAGAGCCGCCGGTGGTGCCGGAGTTTCTGGCGGGTTTAGCCAGGCGGGGTTGGGTCCCCGTCAGAGTAAATGCTTACGAAACGCGGTGGCGCGGCGGTGGTGTTGCGGGGCTGGTGGCCGGAATGATGGAGGAGCATTGCGGTGTGGATGCTATTGTGTTCACGAGCACGGCGGAGGTTGAGGGGCTGCTGAAGAGCTTGGAGGAACTGGGATTGGATTGGGGGATGGTGAGGCGGATGTGCCCGCGATTGGTGGCGGCGGCGCACGGCCCTGTGACGGCGGTGGGGGCGGAGCAATTGGGTGTGGAGATTGATGTGGTTAGTTCCAAGTTTCATAGTTTTTACGGCGTTGTGGATGCACTCGACTGCTGGTGGAAATCTTTCCACTGCTCAACTTCACCATCTTAGTCCTTTTACTCCCAAAAAAAAAAAAAAAAAAAAAGTATAGTTTATACTAGTTTTTATTTTATATTATTACTATTTTTCTTGGGATCACTATTTCAAATACTAACTTTTGCTTACTTGAATACCAAAAAAATAATAAATAAATAATTAATTGTAAATTACTTTAATGCTCTTAATGAAAATTAAAACCAAAAAAATATTACAAATACTATTTTTCTTTCTTAAATACCAAATAATCAAAAACCTAAAAAGAACATTTCCCTCCTCACTCACAAACCCCTCACCTCTTCCACCTCCTTCTTCTCCCTCCCCAAAAACCCTCCTAAAAAACCTCAAAACAAAAGAAATCAAAACCTTACACAACTTGCAAAATGGCGTCAAATGACAATAGAATGGTAGTTTACGAGCAAGGAGAACCCATTAAGGTATGTATTCATGTATTTTTTGAGCTAAAACATCGATTTTGATTTTTTTTTTTTAAACTCGCCATCAATTTTCGACACATACAGGTCGAAAATACTCTTATTTTTTCGACATGTATGTGTCGAAAAACATAACAATTCATATTTTATTCAGTTTCGACACCTAAGTGTCGAATTTTGATACAATTTTCGACACCTAAGTGTCGAACATGACTTATATTTTCGACACTTAAGTGTCGAAACTGACCTCTATTTTCGACACTTAAGTGTCGAAAATATGGGTCATTTTTGACACTTAGGTGTCGATTTTGTTCCTGTTGCAAATTTAGTTGTCTTATATTTTCGACACTTTTGTGTAGATCGATTGCACCCATTCATTTACCACGTCAGAAACATTCCCAACAAAAGAAGCTTTATTGGCATGGGTACGTGAAGTATGTAAAAGAATTGGAATGGTGTTAATGATTGCGGGTTCGAGTGACGGGGATAGAGGACGTAGGACACCGTATGTGATTGTTCGTTGTGAGCGTGGGGGCCATTATGTTGGCAAGAAGGTACCAGGTGAAGATGATCAAAGACTGGGAAAAAGGAGCACCGGTTCAAAGAAATGCAATTGTCCGTTTAAATTGAAGGGGACAAAAGAACACAAGGATGATGAAAAGGCTGAGTGGAAATTGGATGTTTATAGTGGTATTCACAACCACAACTTATTTGAAAACTTGCACGGACACTCTTATGTTGGAAGATTATCAAAGGAGCAGGTTTCCTTTGTTCACACTATGAAGAAAGCAATGGTGAAACCAAGGGCAATTCTAAGAGCATTGAAGGAAAAGGACCCGTCTAATGTAACTGGTATGAAGACAGTTTACAATACTATCTCTAAGTTAAATTTCAGTGAATTGGATGGGAGATCTCAATTGCAATCATTGTTCGTCAAGTTGAAAGAAGATGAAATTAACCCCAAATATATTTCAATATAACATAAATAACATATTCTAAGTGTTTTTTGGACAAAAAAAATAAAAATTTCAAATTATCGAAAAAAATTAAAAAATGAAACAGTTTAAATTCGACAGCTAGCTGTCGAATTTCAACTGTTTCAAATTTTTTTTTTTCGATAATTTGAATTTTTTTTTTTTTGTGAAATTAAGCCCAAATATATTGCAATATAACATAAATAACATATTCTAAGTGTTTTTGGACAAAAAAAATAAAAATTTCAAATTATCGAAAAAAATTAAAAAATGAAACAGTTTACATTCGACAGCTAGCTGTCGAATTTGAACTGTTTCAAATTTTTTTTTTCGATAATTTGAAATTTTTATTTTTTTTTGTGAAATTAACCCCAAATATATTGCAATATAACATAAATAACATATTCTAAGTGTTTTTGGACAAATTCATGTAGTCCGGCGAAGTATCCGCCTCCCCGAGTTCAACTTCAACAGACCTCGACTCCTCGTCCAGACAATACTCCTCCCACCGATCAGAGAAACGTTCGCCATACGCAACGAATATTGAGTTCTGGACTGATCGACCTTTGTTAACTAGAGCTTTGTACATATCTTTTGACATGTATACACGACCTGGAATAATTTGCACCCGGTTGAACTGCCTCAACACTCTGTCCGGATGATATGCCTCGAAGTGGTCCATGCAACATATCATCCCACTAAACCAAGCAGAATCTGGCATCGGGAAACGATCACGAATAGCCGTATACGGTGACCATAAAACCTAGTAAAATAAATAAAAAATTAGATTTAAAAACCTACTTAAGTAGTAATAACAAATTATTAAACTGGTATTTTACCTGATCGGGGATCAAATCATCTAATCGAGATCGCAGGTACGACGCTCGTTCAGGCGTTGAAGTAGTCTTTGACTGAGGCTCCCATCGGCTCGCTAATGGCCCCTCGAATTCCGTCTTCAATGTGCCACCCGCCAAATAAGGAAAGTGCTCGTAAATCCATGATTGAAAGAGCGTCAGCCAGCCAGCCATCGAGTTCGTTGATTTTTGTGAGGCTGACGAAAGCTCATCGTACAACCGACAAAGACATGCAGTGCCCCAAGCATACTCGCCGATCCGATCCAAATCAGAGACGAGATTTAGATACTCCACGCTTACCATGTTGCCTGTCTTGTCGCACAGTATAGTACACCCGAGCAAAAATAACAAATACGCCCGAATGGCGTATGTCCTCTTCTCCGCACTGTCTCTCATGGTCACTTTGCTAAATTTAGCCTTCAACCATTCCAACTTCACCGCTTTCTTCTTGTCTACATCGTCCGGGTACTCACCAAGCAACTCGAACATCAAACTACTGGGCTTCGTTTTGGAATCACGGATCAAACGCTCGCAAGATACGGTACGCCCAACAACTGGCAAACCGACCAACGTACTCACATCATCAAGTGTGATGGTCATCTCTCCAACCGGTAAATGAAATGTGTTGGTAGCTGGCTGCCATCTCTCTATGAATGCTCTAAGTAGATGGCCGTCCACAGTGTTTTACGATGCTTGTACAACTGACATTAATCCACCTCTTTGTACTACCTCTGTAATAAACGGCGCCGGCACCCAACCTTTCAAAGTTCCTGTGTGATTTCGAATTCGAAATTCTGAGCCGCGCTCCGAGCGCTCTGGACCTCCATTCACAATATGATAAGCAATGTGCTTATCAAAATTTGTGTACAATTCCGGTATCTCGGGACCTCTGACCGGTTCGTTGCTCGAATTACCAACGTCTACAGTCGAGGGAAGAGCCGGCATCAGATTCGTTGAGGAAGAACCCTCTCCAGACTTCTTCTTGGTCGTGGTCTTTTTCTTGGTCGTGATTGCCTTGCCCTTGCCCTTATCGGATAATTCCTTCCTCTTCTTACGGTTCGAGACAGTCGGAGGTATACGAGGTTCACGTGGTTCTTCCACTGCAAAATAACACAAATAAAAATAAATATACATAATATAAACACAAGGAAATAAAAATAAGAAAGAAAAAAAATTAATTAAAAAAAAAAAAAAAAAAGATTACACATAGTAATTTCGACAACCAACTGTCGAAATATGCTAGAGAATTCGACAATTAGCTGTCGAATTTTCTACAAAATTTCGACAGCTAACTGTCGAATTCTCTAGCATATTTCGACAGTTGGTTGTCGAATTATCAAAAAATCAAAATAATCGACAACTACATGTCGATTTTTGTAGAATTTTCGACATCAATCTGTCGAAAATCCAGCAAAAATTCGACATGTACAGGTCGATTATTTTGAACGAAGAACCGACCCACGAATCTCAAATCAATGCTCAAATCGACTGAAATTAGATGCACTCATTACTAATTAACGATCATTTCTACCTAAAACAATCAAATCCTAATTACCCATATCAAACAATCAAATCCTAAGTAAATATTAAAGAAAAAAAATTCGAAAAAAATTATTACTTGGATGAAACCGGAACGAAGAAGCGGCGGCGGGTTGATAACAATGGACGAAGAAGCGGCGGCGGCGTACGGTGGCGTTCGGCGGCATTCGGCGGCGGCGGCGTCGGCGGCGAGGCTTGGAGAGGGTTGGAGGTTTTTTTTTTACAACAAAGGTTTTTTTTCTTTTTTTTTTTATTTGGTTTTTGAATAGGTAATTTCTAAAAAAAATTGATATAATTGATATTTTTTGTATGAAAGGGTGTTTTTGTACTTTTCTTTTTATTTTGGTATTAAAGTAAGAAAAAACTGATAAATATGTACTCAATTTTGGTTTTAAACTTGGTAGTATTCAAGTAAGCAAAAGTTGGGATTTAAAATAGTTGCCCCCATTTTTCTTAGATCAATGGCATTTTTTTTAGAGTAAAAAGCAGTTTGCCCCCTAAACTAATGGCTGATTTGCACTTTACCCCCCAAACAAAAAAAATTTGCACGTTTTTACCTTAACTCGTTAATTCGTTGCACGGTGCCCCCTGAACTCAATTTTCCGGCAACTTTGACCGGAAAGTTAAAATATGTGCCTTGCACGTGAGATTTTCAGGGGTAAATTCGTCCATTCACTTACATTCTAAATATTAAATATAAATTAATCTTTAAAAACAAAAAAAAAAAAAAAATTGTTATCTTCTTCCCTTCACCCACCACCCTCCAAAACCCAGCCAAAAATCCCGTCAGCCACTTGCCGGCAGTTTAATCCGACGATGCCATTCTCTTAATCGTCCTCCACTCTCTCGCAACCCCCGACCACCAACCCCACCCCGGCAAATCATCATAACCTCTAAACTATTACCAACCCGCCGCGCCATTACTTGCCTCGTTTCCTCCTCCGTTTGCCGATCGAATCTTCCACCATAGAAGTATAAAAACAGAGATTCCCCAATTTCTATTTAAGAATTCACCACCTCCGGCAAATCATCTCCACATCCACCTTCCCCACCTTGATTCCACCTCTAAACTAATTTCAACCCGCCGCCGTCACATACCTCGTTTCATCCTCAGTCCGCCGACCGAGTCTTCGACCATAGAAGTAAAAAAAGGATCTTCCCCAATTTTTCTTTTTAAGAAATCACCATCTCTGCCTATGCTCCTTCGATGTGAAAGATCGTAATCTCATCCCGTTCTTCTTTGGATCTATGAGTAAAATAGGATTAGAAAACATTTTATTTGAACTGAATTTGGGGGTTGAATCTGGGCCGCCGAGGAGATGTAATGCACCAATTGACAGAGATGGATGTTGCTGTTGTTTTTTCGCCGGAGAATGTTGCGTGGCTCGCCCACGAAGCTATATCCGTGAAGAGAGGAGCGGTGTTGGTCGTCGGAGAATTTGGGATTTTCTTGAAATTAACGTTTGAAGTTTTTTTGGCCAGGGATGGGGTTTACCGTTTACTGTTTGGGAAGGAAGGTGGTGACATGGATTAAAGCTTTTTTTCCTTTTGTTTTTCTTTTTTTCTTTTTTCTTTTCTTTTTTTTTCTTTTAATATTATTTGTATTTAATATTAAAGATGCAAAAGAATGGACGAGTTTACCCCAAAAAATCTCACGTGCAAAGCACATGTTTTAACTTTCCGGTCAAAATTACCGGAAAATTGAGTTCAGGGGGCACCGTGCAATGAATTAATGAGTTTGGGTAAAAACGTGCAAATTTTTTTTGTTTGGGGGGTAAAGTGCAAATCGGCCCTTAGTTTAGGGGGCAAACTGTTTTTTACTCTTTTTTTTACGGGACTTTACAAATAAGCCCATCAATGGGTACTTATTTATAAAGAGATCAAGACAAAAAACTCTTTTACCAATACGTCCACACATGGTCCAGATTTTTGTAAAGGACTAAAATAACCCCTCATACTTTAATATGCTCCAATTTCATCCGTAACTTAATTTAACTTCAATTTGACCCCAAATTTCACAAATGATTCAATTTTGACCAAAACTTTTTTTTTTCAAATTTTTTTTTTTTTCAAAAACTTTTTTTTTTCCCGCCGGATTCCGGCGTTGACCGGCGGTCAACGCCGGTCTCCGGCATTGACTTTTTCAACTTTTTTTTTTTTCTTTCTTTCTTCCGTATTTTTTCGCCGGATTCTGGTGTTAACCGGCGTTCAACGCCCGACGTTGACTTTTTAATTTTTTTTTTTCTTCTTTTTTTTTTCTGTAACTTTTTTTTTTTCCGTTTAAACAGCAATATTGTTGTGATTGATAGTAATATTAACTATCTTACTGTTAAACACAGTAAAATTAACTAAACTATAGTTTAACACAATAATATTGCTATATTAATCTCTAGCACATTAATATTAACACAACAAAACTCATTATTATTGTGTAATAAAGTAATATTACTATGTTGACCGTTCAACAAATGTAAACATAATAAAAAAAACCAAAAGAATTAATATTACTGTGAGTGACAGTAATATTACTATAGCAACAGTAATATTACCGTCAACCACAGTAATATTACAATAATATACAGTAATATTATTACGTTACTCCGTGAATAACTCAAACAAACAAAAAATCCAAATAAAATAATAATATTGATGTGGTTGACATCAATATTACTATAACAACAGTAATATTACCGTCAACCACAGTAATATTATTTTGTTTGCAGTAATATTACTATAATAGACAGTAATATTATTACGTTACTCCGTGAATAACTCAAACAAAACAAAAACCCCAAAAAAATAATAATATTGATGTTGTTGACAGTAATATTATTGTGTTTACAGTTATTTTACTGTCAACGACAGTAATATAATTACGTTGACTTGTCAACAAATCAAACAAAATAAAAAAAAACAATAAAAAATAAAAAAAAATAATATTACATTAATTTACTGTCAACGGCAGCACAATTACATAAATGTAATGTCAACGGCAGTACAATTACGTCAATTAACTGTCATTGACAGTATAATTACGTTAATTTACTGTCAGTGACAGCACAATTACGGTCAACGTTTAGCGGCGGACGTGGAAAAACAAAACAAACCAAACAAAAAAAAAAAAAAAACTTAAAAAAAACACTAAAAAAAGTCAACGACGGAGAGCGCCGGAAACCGGCGAAAAAATCCGGAAGAAAAGAAAAAAAAAAAAAAAAAGTCAACGCCGGAGACCGGCGTTGACCGCCGGTCAACGCCAGAATCCGGCGGCAATTTTTTTTTTTTGAAAAAAAATATGTTTGTGAAAAAAAAAAGTTTTGGGTCAAAATTGAATAATTTGTGAAATTTGGGGTCAAATTGAGATCAAATTAAGTTAATGGATGAAATTGGAGCATATTAAAATATGCTCAAAAAAAAGTTAAAATTGAATTTTTGTGGTCAAAATTGGATTTTTGTAGACAAAATTGATTAAATTGGGGTTACAATTAAGAATTGGATATAAATGGTTGAGGGTAATATTGGGATATACATGAGTGTTTCATTTATTTATAATAAATATTAAAGTGATGGGTTTATTGGTGAAAGAGATATGTCCCATAAACCTAGAATAATAAAAATGCTTGGTTGCGGACTTTATCACAAAAACCCCTTTTTTTTACATAACTTTCTCCATTTAGATTAATCTTGGATGAACAACTTCTGATCATTTTTTAGTACTAGTAAGTGATACGTGAGTTTTTATGATGTTTGTTAATTATTTATATATTTATTAATAATTTACTTCATTAAAATTAAGATATATTATAAATAAATATTTAATAAATTAGTGATGTGATTTAGTATTATGTTAATGTAGATTTCCGATCGTATTGATTTTGCTTGATCTTGATGCAGCACAGTACATAACAAAATCTTCATATTCATTACTTCAAAACTTTTAAAGATTAGTGTAACAATTATCATTAATATTCTTCTTTCATCTAATTCATTTTTGGTGACGTTTTTTTCTCTCAAAATTCTAGCATCATCATTTATTTAATCAAATGTAGTATTTACTGAAAAATATTCTCTTGTGCGATTATTTTTTATTATGATATTTTTTTCTTATGAAAAATATACACTATAAGTGGGTATTTTTATTTTTTTAGAGGGTCATAGACTAAAATATAAAGATAAAAAATCAAAAAAAATTATCTGGAGGAACGGCTCCCCCCTTGGGGTGCCTCATTACGCCCCTTCTTTCATCTACTATAAACAATAGATGACTTACTTTTAACTTTAATCTTTTAATTTAATATATAAATTTATTGAATGCAAATTTCGCTTTCTCAATTCGTCCTCTGACCTCAAATTATTTTATCACCTCGTACTCTCAATTGCATCGATTTACCCCATGCATTTGTGCAATTGCCCCAATGTAACCCTCTACGTCAGTTTTTATGATTTTGACCTTGAAGCCGTTAGTCAAGATTTGAAAATTACAGGAATTTTGTGTTCAAGTTCTTTTGCTTTCAGTATCAATTATAAACTTTTTGCGCCTTCAGTTCCTTATTTGTATGTGAAAAGTGTTCAG